TGTACAAAATCCAACTCAAAATGGACCATAGATATACATGGAAAACAAAACAATAAAACTTTCAGGGGAAACAAAAATGTAGAAAATCTTACCAGACACAAAAGTCCAATCCACAAAAGGAAAAAGTGATAAACTGGACTTGATCAAAACTAAAATGTCTGTTGTGTGAAAGAGCAAGAAAAGACAAGCTACCGATAAGGAGAAAATATCTGCAGATTATATATCTAACAAGGCACTGGCACCTAGAATACACAAGGGACCCTAAAGACTCCACTGAAAGAGGACTTCAAACAGCATATGCACAAGACATAGAGAGTCATTTCACCAATAAAAGGGCAAGTGGCAGACAAGCAGGAAAAGATGCTCAACATCACTAACCATCAAGAAATACAGATGACAGCCACAATGACACACCTGTCAGAGCCATGGCAACAAAACAGTCCCACAGCAGCTCTGGCAGGGTCGCAAGAAGACCAGACTGTTCGCACACAACTGGAGGGATGTGAAAGGGCACAGTCCTCAGGAGAGTTTGAGTTTCTTTTTGTTTGTTTTTTGCAGTGCTAGAGCTCAAACACAGGGCCTTACACATCCTGGGCAGTCTGGTCTCCTGCTGAGCTCCAATTCCCCAGCCCTGAAGGTTTAGTTTCTTACCTAAATATGCAACTACTATGCAAGACAGAAAGTTCTTGTGCATTTGTTCCAAAGAAATGGAAACCTGTGTGTAGAAAAACCCGTATGCAAATGTGTAGCAATGGTGTCCATAATACCCTAGATGGAAACACCCCTTGTCCTTCAATAGGGGAACAGTAAGCAGACTGCAGTATATCCATACCAAACAGTTCTGGAAAAACCAACAGGACAACCTGCGTAATCTCCAGGGAATCTACTTGAGTGACAATAGCCAATACCAAGAAAGCAACGTACGGTGTGGTTTTATCTATGTGACTCTTAAAATGGCAGAACTGCAGATAGGGCAAACAAGCCAGAGGTTGTCAGAGCTGAGTAGGGTGTAGCCATCCAAGGGTGGCAGAAGCATCTGTGCCGTTGAATGCTGCATCTCATTGCCTGGTTATGATGTCGAATAAGTTCTGCCAGTTGTTACCACTGAGAGAAAGCAGGGAAAAGGCACATGGGATCCATCTGTAAGGTCTGACAACTTCACGTGAATCTACAGTTGTCTCAAAATTTAATTTTAAAAATCCAGTTCCCAGAGAGGCACAGTGGAGGATGCTGGTAAGCTCAATTCTTTGGGGGCTGAGGCAGGAGGCCAGCCTGGCCTAGGCAACTTAGAGAGGCCTTATCTTAAATAACAAGGACTGGGACTGTAACTCAGTGGTGGAATGGCTCTGGGTTCAATCCCTAGAATCGCAAATGGAAAAAGTGGATATCCATGTGCAAAAGAGTGAAGAAAACCCGGTTCTCTCCATCCTGTATCTCCCTGCAGTTGCCTCCCATTGCTCTGCCCCCAGAAAGGGGGGTCTACACTGCATCCTCACTTCCTTACCTCCCTTCACTTTATCCCAGGGTCCAGGTTCTCATCCCCAGTGCCAAGATTGCTCTTGTCAAGTCTACCCAGGACCTCATCGTGCCAGCAGGTGCAATGGTCAGCATTCCTCTTCTATCTTCCTTGACTTTTGGACAGCATCTGACCCAGCAGTCACCTTCTCAGAGCTCTTTAACCTCTCTCCAAGACACAGTTCTCTCCCATATTGTGCCTGCCCGAGAGGAAACACCAGCCTCTTGCTGACTCCCTCCTTCCCCCTGGCCTCCCAGTGCAGGAACTCCCCAGGAGCAGTGTTCAGGCTTCTCTTCTTATCCAACTACACTCTCTTCTCAGGTGACTTTAACCACCATCTACATGTCACTGACTTTACATGTACACCCTTGACCTGCAGTCCCTCTGAGCACCCTCTCACATGCCCATCACCTCAACTTAGATGAAGAAGCTACTGGAAATTTTACATGGTAGAAGGCTCCAGTTCCCACCACCCTCCACTGAAACAAAGCCAGGGAACACCTTGCTCCCAATTCTCTCTTCTGAGTGAAGAACACCTCCTTCCCCAGGAGCTCCAGCCACATCATCAGGGACTCTTCTCTTCCTCTCACATAGTGCATCTGACGCATGAGAAGCACTCTTTGGTTTAACATCAATATAGCCTCCACAGCCAAGTAGCTGAACACTTCTTTCCTCGTACATGCTTATTACTAGTACAATAACACACTAATTCACATGCACAGAATCATTAGCCGACACTGTTTACCTCTTGTCATGCCTTTGAACCTAGCAGGTAACCCTTCCCATGCCAGTGTTGATAATTTAGGTAAGTCCCATGACTTTTCAAATTCGTAGGTGATAGAAAGTTCTACAGTCACTTCAAGCTGAAAAGAGTCTTGATTCAGCAATCAAAAGCGTCCCGGCTAGATGGTAATCACACTGTCTGACACACTGCAGGCCAACAGCTGCTTTCCTAAGCTGCCTGCCACAGCTGGGCCCTCTCCTTAGAAAGGAAGGCATGGCCATCACGTTCCCTATGCCCAGCATTGTTCCTCCTTCCTCTGCAGGCTTAAGGGTACTGACCCTAAGCTGCCAAAACAGGGCAGGGCGGGGGCAGGGAGAGGCTAGCTCTCCCTGTGTGGAGCTGTCCTGAGATAACCTCATCCCTCTGACTCTCCTACACAGCACTTCTGCAGGTTCTTCTAAGGCCCTGTTTGACTCCACAGGCAAACAGTCTCTCCTCAGAGGGACAACCCTTACCCTCTGCCACCAGTTTCTCAGCAGCCCACTCTGAACAGATGCTGTTGAGACCCATTGCTCTGTCCTGACTGCCCCCTCTCCCGGACTAGAGCCAGTATGAGAGACACTCATCCTCACCAGCTCCACCTCTCCCCCACCCCTGCTGCAGGCCATGCCAGAAGTATAAGTCTCAAGAAATCACAAAGCCCCTCTCCCTGGTTTGGAGATGAATGACAAGTCCAAAACCCTGTCCAATCTCCAACAGCTGATCAGAACACTGTTGGTAGTGTGGCGGAGAGTGCCCAGCCAGGTCCTGCCACCTGTTCTGGTCCTGCACAGTGGCAGCCTCACCATTCACTGCCACCACCGCACCCTTGTGCCTCAGCTAAACTTGCAAAGCACATCCTACAGCACCAGCATCTGACTTCCAGCCCTCAGCAGGCCCTGCTTTCCCAGCCCTTGACCCGTTAATCTCCACTGCTCACTCTCCTTTGTTCCCTCAGAGCACTGCCACTATCTAGACCCTCACACATCTAGTGCCTCCTACTTGCCAAGGTACATACAGTGCCCAGTGCCCGCGGGCGCTATCAAATATGGGTTGGATGAAACCTCTGTGTCCCTTCCTGGCCAGTGCCTCCAGCGCAGGTTCCTGTCTATCCCCTAAGGGAGGCACAAACACAGACAGGAAGCCTGAGTCACACGTGGCTGCTGGTGAAGCCCCTATGGACACTGAGGGATTTGGAGCCCTGGATACAGTCCTCCTTTTGGGTGGGAGAGAAATGTGGACAGTTCAGAGCTATTGTTAGGATCTCCCTTGTGGAAATTGCCCCTTAATTGGTAAAAGGGAGAGAACAGCCATGGTTCTCATTGCTGCCTTTGTCCCTGTTCTCATTCCCTCAGCCACACAGAGCCTGTCATCAGACAGACCTTTGCTCAACAAAGAATCTGGTTCAGTGGGCCCTGGGCCAGCTCTTCCTTAACTCATCTGCCATCTTCCTGCTCAACAAGCTTGACAGATCAGCCCAGCAAGCACTTACCAAGAACCTGCCTAACATCAGCCCAAGGTCATCCTGGGGCACCCACAAACTTGTGTGGTAGGCAGAGCAGAGGATCTCACTCTCTTCCTTTCCTCCTATCTACAAGCAATCATGGACACTGCTGTGAGAAGCTTCAGAAAGAGGCACAGGGCCCCAGGCACATGTGGTTCAGGCCCACCCTCAAAATACACAGACTCTGTCATCTTATGTTGCAGCACCCCACCCCCACTCCCAACAGCACTCAGCAGAACACAACCTCTGCTACCCCAAACTAAGAGTCTACCAGCCAAACCTTCCCAGAGTCCTGGCTCACAGGCACCTTCCTTCTCCACCTCCCAAAGTCCCAGGGCACTGCTTTGATTGTCCTCACAGCACTTCAACAGGAGGAATGCAAGGTAGCAGGGGGTCTTTACATAAAAGAGATTTGCTCAGGAGTCAAGAGCAGAGTTCACCAGGAATCACAGGTAGAGGGAGATGGACGTGAGATGGGTCATTCTGGACTTCCGTTATGGTCACCAAACCTAGACTGCTCTGAACTGCTGAGAAGGGCTGGCTTCATGAGACTGAGAAAACCAAGAAGAGACAGCACCAAGCCTCAACTCCAAGAATCCCAACATGACCAAGGAGGTTTCCTTGGGCCTTAGCTCAGTGCTACCTCAAACCTTCCCCTGCTCCTCATCTTCACCAGCCTGGACTCAAGAAGAGGCCCTAGAGCTCACTGGCCCTCAATTCCACCCAGAAGACCCCACAGATGTGGTGTGAACAGTGGTTTCCAGTCAGCTGCCTGCAGGCCTGGCGTGGGTGAATTAGATTAGTGTCTCTATGACCTAGTCTGTCACCTGTACAAGGAGTCAGGAGGCATGTGACACCTCCCAAGCCTAATGTGGCACAGATTCACATGAGCACTGACTACTGTGCTGCTGCACCTTCACCACCAACAGCATCTTGACTGCAACAGTATCTTTTGACCTCCACCCCTGCCCACAGCCCCACCTTCACAGAGCAACTTGAGGAAGACCTAGGTCAAGAGCTTGAGTTGAGACTGACTGCAGAAGCCTTTGACACACCATCTGGATAAAGGGCCCTGAAACCTATTCCAGGGTGGAGGAAGGGGCTCTCAGGGTGGTACAGAGGCTCTCAGTCAGAAGTGCCTCCAAATGGGACCCCAAGAGGGACCAACCCAGGAGCTCCCAAGCCCATCTCAGGCCTAGGGCCAAGATGCAACTCACATTGTAGAGGATGTCAGTCCAGCCCTCCATGGTGATACACTGGAACACTGTCAAGATGGCAAACAGGATGTTATCAAAGTTGGTGATACCAAAGTTGGGTCCTGGCCAATACTCCCGGCACTCGGTGTCACCCTCACACAGCCGGGCAGGGGCCTCCTTGCCACAGGGGAAGTCACCCACAGGATCTGCATCTGTGAGGAGGAAAATGAAGCAGATCCTGAGCTCAGAAACACAAAGTTCTCCAACCCCTCTGGGATTCCTGGGTGCTGGAGAGCGCACTGTAGGCAGCAGGAACCTGGTACCTCCAGACACTCTTCATCAACTGCCTAACCAGTCCTCGCACCTACACCAGGACTCTCCTCCCACCTGCCCCCTGCTTCCACCTGAGGTCAGGACCCACCCTGTTAGGACTTCTGGTCAGTATATCCCTCTCCCTGGGAACCTGTCCATCATCATTTAAACAAGCTCAGAAGCCCATTCATTTTAAAATAAAAACCAACAAACTCCTACCTTCCAATTCTTCCTACCACTACCACCCTGATTTCTCCTCTCCCTCATAGACAAACCACAAAAGTCTTCTAACATGAAGATTTGATTGTCACTCTGGAGCCAGCAAGGCGGTTGGTTAGTATAAAGCTAGACTCCTGGACCTGCACACAGGATAACTGAGAGTTAGTTCAACAGATGCCCAGAGAGAAACTGGAGGCCTCCTGGCCCAGTCACCACTGCACTGGCCCTTACAGAGTGGGGATCCCTCTACTTTCCTGCAATGTAGTGGGCAGCAAAAGACCACCTAGAGAGGTGGTAAAGAAAACATCAGGGTTGGGACATAGCTCAGTGGTAGAATACTTGCCTGGCATGCATGAGACCCTGGGTTCAATCCCCAGTACAAAAAAAAAAAACCTGCTAACCTCTGGGACAAGACAGTTAACAGAATATGATATAGAGTGTTTAGCCTCTTCACTCCCAAAATTCCAGTGACAAGATAGAAGAAAATTTTATGAAAATGTGTACCAACATATGAAAATCCCTCCTATCAACATAGGAGATAATTTGAGGAACTGCAAGGATGGAAAGCAAGTCCTCCCAGGATTAGAAGGCAAAACTGGCCACACAAGTTTATTTCTAACTTTCCAAATATCTAGATAAATTTCATACAGAAGTCCTCATTTGTCTCTGTACACAACTGCATTCTCTGTAAACTAGGACGGTTTCTTCCTGTCTGACTTGACACTCTCGCTTCCTTCTGGTCTCCTGCACTGGTCACACTGCCAATGCCATGCAGACCAGCTACGCCCTTGCTTTGATCCTGACTGTGAAGGAAAAGGTCTCACAATGAAATTCAATGTTTGCAGGGAATTTTAGGGAATTTAAGAAAAGCATCTTTCATTTATAGCTTGATGACAATTTTTTTAAGTTATGAATAATTTAGGGGCTAGAGATGTGGCTCAGCAGCAAAGTGCATGCCTAGCATATACAAGGCCTTGGGTTTCATACCAGTACCAGAAAAAATGATAAAAAAAATAAATCATGACTAACTTATAGCAAATGCTCTTTGGGATCTAAGAGATGATCACATGGGTTTTCTCCTTTAATATGTTGAGCGCTCAAGACTCAAATTTACTGTCTTCCTTAACTCTTTCTCTTACACTCAACAGGAAAACCTTATAGCTTTACCTACAAGTACCCAGAATATGGCTCATTCCAACTACCTCTACCAAACGCCTGGCCCTGGCCACTGCCATCTCTCCAAGATTGAGATATCCTCCCATTGGATCCCGTTTCAGCCTTTGCCTCCCCTCGCTACCTTCTAATGAGCTGACACTAAATAACTGTATTTCAAATACATTTTTTGTTTCCTTCCAGAAGTGGCTACAATCTGTATTACTTTATTTGTGTGTCTATTATTTGTTTACTGGTTATAATCTTCTGTCTCAGTAATCTGGCACCTACCAGTTCTCTCTAGCACCTATAGTGGTGCCTGTCTCCTGGATGGATAAATCTGTCGTCCTCAACTGAGCCGAGATGATAGGAGACCTCACCTGAGCTGTTGGGGAAACAGGCCTTGTGGAATTTTCCCATGTAGAACTCGAGGCCAATGATGGCAAACATGAGGATGGCAAAGAAGAGTAGCAACCCAATCTGCAGCAGTGGAACCATGGCCTTCATGATGGACTTGAGCACCACCTGCAAACCTGTGACCAGAGCAGCGCAGGTCAGAGAGCAAAGGTGGGGGCAGGGGAGAAGGCAGTAACAGAGCAGCAAAAACCCAGGAAGGGCAGGGCTGAGAGACCTGGGGCAGAAGTGGAGCTGTAACTGTTGATGAGGTCAAAGAACAGAGCCATGGCCTCAAAGTAGGGGACACAATAGGGAAGGCTGTGAGAGTGAGGACTCATATGGGGCAGAGTGTGACCTCCTAGGGAGAGGTGGACTGAGCAGTGTCTCAAAGGGGGAGTAACAGAATGAAGAGGTGTCAGAGTTTGAAGTCCAAGAATCCAGGAAAGAACAGGAATCCTCAGAAGGGAAAGCAAAGAAAAGTGGGAAGTAGAGCAGAGGACCCTGGGAGGGAAGAGCAGGGGATCCTGACAGGAAAGAACAGGAATCCTCAGAAGGGAAAGCAAAGAAAGGTGGGAGGTAGAGCAGAGGACCCTGGGAGGGAAGAGCAGGAATCCTCAGAAGGGAAAGCAAAGAAAAGTGGGAGGTAGAGCAGAGGACCCTGGGAGGGAAGCGCAGGGGATCCTGGGAGGGAAGAGCAGGGTCTCCTGAGAGGGAAGAGCAGGAATCCTCAGAGGGAAGAGCAGGAATCTTCAGAAGGGAAAGCAAAGAAAGGTGGGAGGTAAAGCAGGGGATCCTGGGAGGGAAGAGCAGGGGATCCTGGGAGGG